GACAAGGTGTTCGAGCTGCAACAAACTGAGATGGTACAGACCATGTCACCTAGAGAGACAATCACCGTGGGTTGCAACTGCCAGTTCCAATCCCAAATGGAGCCTGTCTCACGATTCAAGGGATCTGAACAACCCCAGAATTAATCTACGATTCCTAGAAAGGCCACATTCCTTTAGTAAAAGCAACTGGAGACACCAACAAACCCAACAGCACAGACTTTTTCCATTTATATCAGTGAAATCTCTTGCAGATGCTAAGTGACACAGAGTACTAATCAGGTCAGGGCACCCAGGTGTCTGTTATTGGTGAGTATGTCTCCTACTCGGTCTGGTGTGTTATTACCTCAGTAATCATGACTCCCATTCATTGAATAACTGCCATCTGCCAAAAACAACAATATCTACATTAGTATGTTAAGAGATCTGTGACATAAATATGTAAAATAGGACATCAAAATTCAAAATAAGGGGAGGAAGAGTGAAATGTAAGTTTTTATTAATATTTCCATCTCTTGTTCCCTAACTTTACAATTAAGATTAAGTGCCATTATTTCAAAATAATTTGAAATAAAATTTTAAAAAAATCAAAAGATGTCCTGTAAGCCTTATGGTACCCACAAAGCAGAGAAATCTGTGTTCCATCCTGAGTCTAGGAAAATATGAGCACCTGCTCATATATTCCTTCCCTCTTCCAGTACCCACTTTCTAGATATCAATAAATGACATGATCATAAATATAACTGACATGATCAATTTTAATTCTGAGTAGTTTTTAGACTTAAAATTATATAAAATGCCTTGAATAGTTGCTGGCTCACCAACTCTAATTGGTTATCTATTGTCCTTCTTGGGGCCTCACCCTCTCTGGCCATGGCAATAGGCCCATGGGACCGGGCCCTACTTGGGCAGACTGTGAATCTCAGCTGCTTGTCTTGTGGCTTCTTTCCCAGAAAAACATCACCCTGAAGTAGTTCAAAAATGGAGAGGAACCTTCATCCCTCCAGGTGTTCAGCTGAAGAACAGTAGTAATGCCAACACAATCCTAAGTACCTTGGTGATCCTGGCTCCAGAGGACTTCAGCTCTCATGCCATCTGCAGTGTGGGCCACACCGAGCCTGCAGCACCCTCTTCATAGAAATGCTGAGTTGGATAGGCTCATGCATGTGCTAGGGACTGCCACCAGGCTAGGCAGGTAGCAAATAAATGGCCACCAAGTAGTGAGCAAGGTGAATCTGATTATTTCATGAAGTCTGAGCATTTGTCCTGAGCTATTTCCATTTCACCAACAATGTCTATTTTTCAAACCCCATCTCAAATGACAAGAGGCAAAGTTCTAGCCCCAGAATGCACAGCGGACCTGGAAGAAGAATGGAAATGTCTCCCAGACAGATGAGACTCTAATCCCCACCAAAGGCAGCGATGGACTATGCAGTGAGCAGAGCTTCATCCCAGGAAAGAAAACTGACCACGTGGAGGACACTGTCCTCACCTACCAGGTGGAACAAGGTGGGTAGCAGAAGGTCTCTGCAAAAAGGACACTTTTGGCTTCTGCTCATCAGGACAAGTCTAAGATGTAGCCAATGGCAAGGCCTCTGTGATTTATTTAAAGAGGCTACATCATCTTTAAGACTTTCTTCTGCAACATGAAATTTAAATTATGACAGCAAATCCTGCACTGCCCTCTCTCCCCCCTCTTCCTCCTTCTCTCTCTCTTTCTCTCTTCCTCCCTCTCTCTCTCTCTCTTTCTCTCTCTTTCATGCATACACAATACTCTCACTTTTGCTCTTTCATTCATTTGCTTGCTCTTTTCACTCACACACAAGCATACACATACACACACACACACACACACAATCCAAAATTGTGTAATTACCTATTAAAAACTAAATATTAAAAATCAAGAGCTGGGGTTGTGGCTCAGCGGTATAGCATTTGCCTGGCATGTGTGAGGCACTGGCTTCGATTCTCAGTGCTCCATGTAAATAAATAAATAAATAAAATAAAGTTTTATTGACAACTAAATTTTTTTTAAATAAATTACACCAAATTCAACTCTGCGGAGAGAGCTCCTATTTATGATCTGCTGTACATACTTTGAAGGCCTCATGTACCCACAAAGTAGATTTGGGGTACTGGCAATGAGGAGGACTAGAGAATGTTTGAGACTCCTACCAGACCAGTGAGTCCGTGTTTCCTTGAATGCTCTTAATGATTTCTTGCCCAGAGATTTCTAAAGTTTCCTCATTTCCTGCATGAACCCAGGTCCTGGTGCGGAGCAAGTCAGCCTTGAGCTCTCCCGACAGGCGCTGTCTAGATGCCGCTTACTACCAGGGTAGACATGCTCCTATGCCCTGATGTTGTTCTCCTGGTTTCCAGGCTCCAGGTTCCCAGTGTCTGGGTGTCTGGGTCCCCTGTCCTGTATCTAGAGGGACAACAGGAATGGACATGTGGGTTCCAGTCTCACCACCTTGTGACCCTACAATCTCTGAGCCTCAGTTTCCTAACCAACATGGAGATGGTAAACCATGTCATGTGACTATGCTGGGAGCAAGCAAGGTGTGCAAGGTAACTAACGGTGGAGGAGGGTGAGATGCTGTTTTCCTGGGCTCCTGCCTCAGGTTTCTGCACCAGGGAGGGTGCGCTGTGCAGCAGGAATAGTTGTCACCACGGTGGGCCTCAGTGACCTCGGATGGGAAAGTGAAGGCCCTGGAGGAGGGGTTCCTGTGTGACCTCTGACAACCCTTCTTGCCACCCTTGCTCTTGTGACTCTCCTCCTAGGCCTCAGGTTGCTTCTGGTGATGGAGTCTCAGCCTTCATTCTGCAGGAAACAGAGGGCTGAGGAGAAGCTGGAGGCACAAGGACACAGGACAAGAGTGACCACAGCCTGACTCAGGAGCAGGCTAAGGTTAGGGGAAGAAGCCAGTCCAAGAAGGCCCAAGGGTGCCACGTTTCATCTGGACGAGGGGAACACCCAATTCTGTCTTGGGTAGTCCTCCGGGAATCTCCTGAAGTCCACTAAACAGCTCTGCGTGGTGAAGAAGGAAGCAGAGCTTGAGCAAAGCTTTGCAAAAGGTCTCCCAGAAGAACGGAGAGGATTAGAATCCATGGAAGAGGTGGCCTCTGGCCTCACAGAGGTGGGGTCAGGGATGAGCTGGCTGTGTGGCCACTACTGTGGTGGTTAGTGAGTGTCAGGATTCCTGGCTTTAGTCAGATTTTTCATTGCTGTGGCCAAAAGACCTGACAAGAACAATTAGAGGAGGAAAAGTTTATTTGGCTCTTGGTTTCAGAGGTCTCAGTCCCTAGACGGCCAACTCCATAGCTGCGGGCCAGAGGTGAGGCCAGGCATCGTGGTGGAAGAGCACAGCAGAGGAGAGCAGCTCAGGACGTGGGCGATCAGGAAGCAGGTAAAGTGTCTTCATGCCAGGGCAAAACGTAAACCCAAGGCACGCCCCCAGTGACCCACCTCCTCCATCCACACCCTCTCCTGGTTCAGAAACACCTGTTGAGCATCCTCAGTGGAGAACAGAGAAGACCACGCCCTGTTCTCACTGAGCTGTGTGCTCCATAAGCAAGACAAGTATGAAATACAAATGGTGAGTACAGACTCTGCCAAGGATGCTAGTGAGAAGGAGGAGAAGGAGGAGGACGATCCCCAGGAGATCCAGTGGCCTCAGACCTAAGGAAGAAAGAGAGGAGGACAGTGGGGACTCCAAGTGCCCGCAGAGAGGTCAGTGGAGCTGAGCCCAAACATAAGTGAAGGCTGGAGTGCAGCTGGCAAAGGATCGGGGGCCAAATCTGTGCGGACGAGAGAAGGGTTTCAGAGTAATGGGAAGCCACCAAAAGAGAGTGACATGAAGCCACTGAAAGTGTGACGTGATCAAACTTCTCCTTTAGCAGGACCACCCCAGGGTAAGCAGATGGCTGACACAGGGAAAGTGGATGAGGCTGTCCGTGCCAGGGGTGACTGTGGAGAGGGAGGTGCAGCAGGTGTCACACGCTGAGATAGGGACCCAGGAAGGCGTGAGAGGGACATGACGGGTGAGTTTGTTTTGTAGATGCCAAGTAGGACACCAGGCATGGAGATGACCTGCCCACGGTGAAAACACCAGTGTCTGCCGAAGAGCAATCAGATCCTCCCTCCGGCCCTGTGGTCCTGCCCCTTCCCATCCCAGCCTAGGGTCAGCCACTGCGAAGGAGGCGGGGCTTGGGAGCAGTGGGGAAACTGAGTCACAGGAGGCTATGTCTGGCACTAGGCTGCGGCTCCGGGCACACTCTTGTATGCCTGCTGCTGCTCAAAAGTACACTGAAAGAGGAAGTCCGTTCTTGGGATGATGTTTTCTGGCCCCTCCACTCCTTCTCCCCAGAGCTGGCTTCAGACCTAGATGGCCAGGAAAGGCACCCTCCTCGCCACCCGCAGCTGATTCTGGGCATGAGCTCTCCTGCAGCGTGAGCAGGCCGAGGCTCAGGCGCCACCCCCGCTCTTCCAGAACAGAAACCTCCCTCCTACTCCCAAGGTCTAATTCCATACACCTCACCCAAAGCCACTTCCTCTAAAAGGGGACTCTGCCCAAACACAGCCCCCGTCAGACACGAGCTCTTTGACCCTGGCACCTCTGGAGAGAAGAGAAGGAGGGCCTGGCTCCTGGAGGCCCCATGCCCAGGAGCCCTCCTCCTGACCCCAGCTCTGCAGCTCACCTGTGCCCAGGGGGAGCCTGTCACACAGACCACACACGCCCTCCACCAGGCCAGACTGCCTCCAGGGTCCTTCATGAGGAATGGCCATGGGTGCCCCTCAAGTAGAAATTGAGGGGTCCAGGAACAGAGCCTGGGTGCTAGAGGAGTCCCCTGGGGCCCCTGCAAGCGCCTGGGGACTCTGACATCAGTCACTTCTGAGCTCGTGCCTAGTTCCCATTTCAGTCCACCAGCAGGAAGTGCCAGGATCCCACAGCCCTTCCCTCCGGTACTTCCTCTTATTTCACCGAAGACAGATACTGCCTCTTTCCAAGGAGCAGGGAGTCTGGAACCTCCTCGGACAGGAGGCTCTAGGAGCAGATGATGCCCACCTCTGCCTCGCAGCCCCACCTGCCTCTGGTGCCCCTGCTGCTGCCTCTGCTGCTGGGACTCTCAGGTGAGCACTGGCCACGGGGCAGATGGACCTCTGTTCCAGGGCCTCTTTCCCTGCTGCCCCTTTCTCTTTGAGACACTTCCCTCCGCCAGCCCTCCAGATCCTCGTTGATTGGAGGGATCCTTTCCTTTCCCACCCAGATCCAGACAGCAACCGTCCCGCCCAGGCCTCCCTCAATGGCAGGGGGTCCCAGCCCCTCCTCTCCTGCACTCCTGACCCCCTCTAAAGGCTTCATGACCCCCATGTGCTTGATGGGCAGGACCCGGTGCCCTTCCAAGGGAGGAGGGAGGGGGGTGGCAGCTGACTTCTTGGTCCTGCTGAAGGCCATGGCACCCAGGGCTTGCGGGGTGCTGTCTTGGTTCTGAAGGATGTAGATGGCTAGATGGAGAGAGAGGGAAAATTTCAGGACTATACATGGAATGTGGACTGTTAGAAAAAAATTGGAAATTGGTGCTTTTTAGACCATGTCTCCCAGAATCCCAGCATCTTACAACGACATTATTGATATGAGCCTTTCTCCTGCCTGTCCCCTCCCTTCTCCCCACAGCTGACTCGGGCAGGCAGGAGAGGCAGCCCTCCTCCTCCCATGATTATCAGCATCTCAGGTGAGAGGCCATTTGAAGTGGCTAAAAGCACAGATATTTTTCAAAACCAACCTGCCAAGGCTCAACTTCATATTTCATCACTTGGAGGCTGTTTGATTCTGGGCAAGTTACTAAACTTCTCTGTGCCTGTGTTTTCTTGTCTGTGAGATGGTGATAAATAATAATGTCTTGCTAATAGGGTTGTAGTAAAAATTAAACTAGTTAATTATAATTGAGTGTTTAGAGTAAGATGTAGCACACGGAAGTATCTATGTAAGCTCTGGCTGCTATATCCTTCCAGGATTTAATAATACAAAAGAATATCTCAAAAATGGTTCTAACCATGAAAGGACACTCTCTGTGTGTCCTTGGCAATCTGAGTCTTTGTTTAAATTCACAGCAGTGATGGGAAATAGGAATAATCTATTGTGCTCCATAGAAGAAACTGGAAGAAGATGGAGGGAATGGGCCTCCCAGAATTTCCAGACCTGAAGCCCCGCCTTGAGACCAGATCAACCTGATGCCCAGGCCAGGCCCTCATCCTCTGGACTCCAGGTCAATGGGGAGAGGCCCTTTGTCTTAGTTGGTTTTCTGTTACTATAACGGAATACCAGAGACTGGGTAATTTATAAAGAAAAGAAGTTTATTTTGGCTCCCAGTTCTAGAAGCTGGGAAGCTCAAGGATCAAGCTGCCACAATGGTGAGGGCTTCATCTGGCTTCAACTCATGGTGGAAAGGCAAGTGGAGCATGCAGAAGACACAGAACATGAGGGATGGACTGGCTTTAAAACAACCGAGTTTTGCTGTAATTAACCCAGTTCCATGAGAGAACTCACTCACCTTATGAAAGAAATTAACGCATTCATGAGAGCTGTACCTTCACAACCCAGACACCTCCCAGGAGGCCTGACCTCTAACACTGATGCACTCAGGAATTCATCTTCCAACACGAATTGGCGGGGAGGGGGGAGGAATGCTCAAACCATAGCAACCTTCTTGCAAAAGTCCTCCTATGAGTCTTGAGTATTTCTCAAAGGCTTTCGGGTTTCAATCTAACAATAAAACTACAAGGAAAGTCTCACTTCCCACAGTGTTTATGTGGCATAGATGAAAATCTACAGCTCAGGAAGGCTAAGTAATTTTTTTCAAGGTCAAACATCAAGTAAGCAAAAGAGGAGGCATTCTAATGGATCCAAGGGGGCCCACAAGCCTTTTGTTTAACCTCTTTACTATGTTGCTTCCACATGTGTTGAACTCAAAAAGAAACAGGATTACACTCAATGTTTTATTGCTCTTTCACTCAAAGACAAATTGGAGATCTTTTTCCATGCCAAGATACATATATCTACATCATCATCAATACCAACATACACTTCAGCCACGTCATTTTAACTATTAGTTTCTTTTCTTTCTATTTTGGTTTTGATGTTGTTGTTGATGTCCTTGCTGATTTCTTTTTCTTCCAGTACTAGGGATTGAACGCAGAGGCCCTCTACCACTGAGCCACATCCCCAACCCTTTTTACTTTTTATTTAGCGACAGGGTCTTGCTAAGTTTCTTAGGGACTTGTTAAGTTGCTGAGGTTGGCTTTGAACTTGGGATCCTCCTCCTCAGCCTCCCGAGCTGCTGGGATGACAGGCCTGCACCGCTGTCATCCATTTATATTCCTTTGTGTGTCCATTTATATTACTGCCTGCCGTAGGGTGGCAAATGGGGTTCCCCTCGGTGGAAGGGGTTGGCTGAGAAATAAAAGCTAAGAGGAAATGAAATGCAGAAAATGCCACGAACACAGAAATTAGTTTCAAAAGCACGGGCAAGACGGGCAAGCTGATCCAACTGATGGAGCTTCTGGCAAAATGGAGCCCACATCTGCTTTATTTATCCTGGGAGGCATCAAAGGCCTTCCAAAGAATGTTCTTCTCCAAAAAAGGTTCAAGATAGGCTCTTCAGTTCCTAACAGGTTACACCCACCTCTGGAGCTACTAGGAGGAACCTTCCTAGCCAAGTGGAGGGAAAGGTCACTTGCATTGGGGAATCTATTGCTGTGGGAAAGGCATGGAGAGTTCCCAATGCCAGGCCTCTCTCTGTCTCTGGCTTCCATGCCGAGAGAAGATCCTCGTGTATTTCACGGGTGGCTTCCTGCAGTGGCAGTAGCCTGATTCATGATACCATTCCACGACACTGTTAGCAACATTGAAAGCTGACAATCATTTTCATTTCTACCAAACTAACATTCTAAAAATAGTGTATGCTTTTAGAAGGGAGAAATGTTTTATTTTATTTTTATTACAAGCTTGTCAAATAATCCAAACAGGGAAGAAATAGACAAGTCATTGATACAAGTCTCTATAGCCATCCCACTTCCTGGAGGATATCACATTTTTAAAGTTATATTTGTTTTCTTATCAAGAGTTTTCTGCCAAGGGAGTACAATATCCGCTTGATTGCACAAGAAATCTGCATAGTTTCCTATACCCAATTTTAGTCTCTCTCTCTGTGTCATTGACCGTTCTGTGGGCCTTGGTATCAACCTGTCTCTTTTATTGCAGCTGGAAAAACGTGCCCTCGTGTTTCATATACTGAGTCTTGCCTAAATTTTTTTTGTAACCCTTCCAGCTAGTCTGCTATAGCCTTTAGCATTGTGCTTTTGGGTTAAATGTACATTTCACTGGTTTACTGTGGTTACTGAACAATTTTTCAAAGATTTCTTTCTTCCCTGTGACTTTCCTGTCTGAATCCTTCACAAGGACTCTCTTCCTGTCTGTTCTTTGCGAAGCTCCTGGCATCCAGTTCAGCCATTTTCCTATCCTAGATGCTAATGCATGATGTGCGAAGAAGGAATTAATGGGACTTCAATTGCAGTCTGGACCCAAGCACCCAGCCTCAACCCGGGATGGGCCAAGACAGGGCGCTTGAAACTAAGTTGTAATATAGCTCAGTTGGTAGAGTGCTTGCCTTGCATGCACAAGGACCTAGGTTCTAATCCCCAACACCACAAAAATAAATAAATAAAAAAGAGTGACCGAGTTGTGTTTCCTTGTAGGAATGACAGGTGAGGAGGAGCCACAGGTGATTCAACCTGTGAAGTCGGTGTCCATAGCAGAAGGACAATCAGCCTCTCTGCGGTGCATTGTGACCTCCCTGCTCCCCGTGGGATCCATTCAGTGGTTCAAGGGCACTGAACGGGACCGGCAGTTGATCTACAGTTTCAAAGAAGGCCACTTCCCTCGGATAAAAAGTATGTCAGACGTCACAAAGACAAACAACACGGACTTTTCCATCCGCATCAGCAACCTCACCCTCGCAGACGCTGGCACCTACTACTGCTTGATGCTCAGGACAATAAGCGATGGCAACGTGGAAGTTAAGTCTGGACCAGGCACCCTGATACTTGTGCGTAGTAAGTCCAGATCCCTAGAGCCCTAGATAAGTTGTTCCTAGACAAGTCACAAGCCCCAGGAGCTCAGCCCCCTTTGTTAGCTCTTGTGTCAAGACTAGGGACAGATGAGGAGGACAGTGGAGGATCCCGGTGACGGAGCTGTAGTCTTGACCTTCTGAATCTTGCCACTCCTAAAGGCTCATGAATAGGTTGCACTAAAGTACAGGCTCCAGGGCCAGGTACCCCGGGTTCCACTTTTAGCTCTGCCATTTACAAACTGAAATGAGATTCTTCAATTCTCTATGCCTCATCTGTAGGATAGGTAGGATAGGGATAATAATAGTATCCATCTCAAAGATTTGTTGTAAGGATTATAAATGTCAATGTATTTATGAATATAAAATACTCAGGAGAGTTCCTGCTGCACATTAATTAGTACATATGATTAGTATTCGGGATATTACAACCAATTAAACTTCAGAATATTATCTTTAAAGCATCAAACCATAGATTCCCATATGATATAAATATTAGAATTACTGAGATTGAAAATTATAAGGATTGCATTTTTTTCATATTCAAGTATTTTTCAAAAAACAACAACAACAAAACAAAGAAAACATGTTGGCTTTTCATTTAACAACATTCAGAAATATTTTGGAGTGCCTGCTACTTACTCATCAGTCAGTGTAAAACTTAACATCTTTTTCCCTATTTGTTAAATGGTGCTATAACAAGTATACGCCTCAGATGATGGGAGATAACAGTTGCATCATATTTATTTTTTTAAATTTATTCTAATTTGTTACATATGACAGCAGAATGTATTTCAATTCATATCTATGGTTGTACACAACATAGTTACACCATTCATGTCTTCATACATGTATTTAGAATAATTATGTTCATCTCATTCCACCATATTTCCTACCCCCTTTTCCCCTCCCTTTCCCTCCCTCCCCTTTGCCCTATCTAGAGTTTGTCTATTCCTCTCATGCTCACCCCCCCACACTCCCATTATGAGTCAGCATCTTTATATCAGAGAAAACATTCAGCATTTGGTTTTTTGGGATTGGCTAACTTCACTTAACATTATGTTCTCCAACTCCATTCTTTTACCTGAAAATGCCATGATTTATTCTCTTTTATTGCTGAGTGATATTCCATTGTGTGTGTATACATACCACATTTTCTTTATTCATCTTTTGAAGGGCATCTAGGTTGCTTCCACAGTTTAGCTATTGTGAATTGTGCTGCTATAAATATTGATATGGCTGTGTCCCTGTAGTATGCTGTTTTTAAGTCCTTTGGGTAGAGACTGAGGAGTGGGATAGCTGGGTTAAATGGTGTTCCATTCCAAGTTTTCCAATGAATCTCCACACTGCTTTCCAATTTGCAGTCCCACCAGCAATGTATGAGTGTGCCTTTTTCCCCATATTCTCGCCAACACTTATTGTTGTTTGTGTTCTTAATAGCTGCCATTCTGACTGGAGTGAGATGAAATATTAGAGTGGTTTTGATTTGCATTTCTCTAATTGTTAGGCATGTTGAACATTTTTTCATATATTAGTTGATTGATTGTATATCCTCTTCTGAGAAGTGTCTATTCAATAAGGATTGCATATTTTGATGTAGATTATATATCCCTATATTTCTTAAATTCTTGAATTCTTAAATTTGGGCCTGGCTAATTCAATCATGGCTGAAGATAAAGCTCATGAGGCTCAAAACGGTATCCACAAAGGCCTGGAAGCAGAGCACTTAGCTCACTTGGCCTTGTTTATGTTGGTAAATTGATAATTATGATATTTTTTTAAATGAGTGGAATAATTTAAAGGAATCATAGAAACATATATTCCAACAGAACTTTTTAATTTTTAGGTTCTCAGAACCTTAAGGCCATGGATAAAACAAAGAGAATATAGATAGCATTCAAGGACTAAGAAAAGGTCTTATCATTTTCAGGAATTGGAAATTAAAATCCACATTATAAGAAAGTGTCAAGGATGAGATCAGGAGCAGATGGCTAAGGGAAGCATTGGGTACCCAAAGACAAGGGCTACTGCCTTTGCCTTCCAAAGCCTCAGGGAAAAATATTTCCAACCTCAAATTTACACCCAGCCAATTTACAGAGTTTGCAAGATCACAAAGGATTGCATTTTATGCATCCTTTTTGAAAAATGGGGGTTAAACAAAGCAAAAATAATGAAGAGAACTAGGAACAGAGAATTGGAGACCCCAAGCTGCCCACCATTCAAGAGGCACAGGGATGGCCCCTGGGCCCTTCCAGACAGGAGGATCCAAAGAGGTAGACCTGCTAGAGCATTCAAATAGTCTTCAAAGTCATACCCACCATTTCTAAAATTGTTTAACACTGTGTTGAACTATTGGCCAATGTCTTTAGAAAGAGAAAGCAACCAATATAGAATGATAAAGAAAGTGAGCAAATTCTCTTTACAGATGATGTGGTTTCTGTAAAACTGAATTGAATCAACACTAAGCTATTACAAACAAGATAATGTAGCAATGTAGAAAATTATAAAATCAACAAACAGAAATCAATGACCTTTATATATACCAACAAAATCCAATTCGAAGATGCCAGAGAAAAGGTGAGAACATATACAATAACAAAATGCTGAGGGGTGATCTCTGCCTAAACAGCAACAGAGGCCGGATTCACTCTCCCACTAAAGTCTGAGCAAACTCTTGGAAAAAAATCATAGACTTGACATTGGACATCAGGCAACAGACAGTGATCCCATTAGAAGGGAAATTCATATGATGAACACTGGGACTGTCCCCAGGGTACTCCCTGAGAAAGCTTAAAGGCCACAATGCAGGAAGGGTGACCTCAGGTAGAACCTGGAGCTCTCCTTGAAGGATCTAGAAGTTCTCAGAGGCCAAAGGGTGACTGGATCTCCAAAAAGCAGCTAGCTGCACAGAGAAAGGACGTCAGAGACCTGTGAAAGGTCCCCTTGAGAACTCAGCAAAAGACTGAAAAGGATGTTCTCATGAGGAAACTACCCAAAGCTAGGGGCAAAATGTTTGAGGACCTCATTCAGGCCAAGAATGGTGTCTGTTGCCACGAATCTGAATGAGAAACCTCATAATTCATGGACCACCTGTTAGAACACAGAGAAGCACTCTGTCTCAGTAAAAGGAGAACCATCAGAGCTAGACCAAATGACACTGTGCTTCTGCCTCGCAACACTTTCATGTGAGACAGAAAAATAAACTGTCTCCCATGTAATTTAACCATGTCCCAAAGCGAGCTCAAACCTATTTATAGAAAGGCAAAATACTCAATACCCAATGAAGTCAAATCCACAATGTCTAGCATCCATTAAAAAAATTATCAGGCATGAAAATGGCACAAGAATATGATTTCAAATGAGAAAGATCATTTGAAACCTAGTGAGAAAAGACAAATGGTAGAACTAGTCTACAAGGACATTAAAGTGACCATGAGTTATTCTGTATGTTCAAGAAGCTGATGTGGTAGGTGCAAGGAGAATACGAAAAAAATCCATATTGAGCTGGACACAGGCGCACACACCTGTAATCTCAGTGACACAGGAGGGTGAGGCAGAGGGTCACATCTTCAAGGCCAGCCTTGGCAACTTAGTGAGGCCCTGTCTCAAAATAAAACTTTTTAAAAGGGCTGAGAATGTTGCTCAGTGTTAGAGCACCCTCAAGTTCAATTCTCATTCCCTCACCATCACCAAAAAAAAAAAAGATGGAAAAGTGAAGTTAAATTTTCCTCTAAGGAGTACAAATCAGTGCACAGATGGCATTCAAATTTCTGAAGTATTCTAAGTTTTCTTTTCAGTTTTGCTAGATGAAAGAGTTCCAGAGATGAATGATAGTGATGGGCGCAAAGTCACAGGATTGCACTGCACACCACTGGCCACTAAAATGTGGTCAAGATGATAAATGTGACATGTATCTCACCACGATGTTAGAAATGAAGTTAAAGACTTGATCAGACATACAAAAGCTGGGATAATTCATGATTGACAGACCTGCACTCTAAGAAAGGTTAAAAGAAATCCTTTAAGCAGAAGTAAAATATTACCAGATGGAAATATGGATCTATACAAAGTAATGAAGAGCATCAGAATCTGATGCAGGGGGGCAACACCTGTAGCCCCAGCTACTAGGGAGGCCAAGGCAGGAGGATCACTTGCACCCATGAGTGCAAGGCCAGCCTGAGCAACTTCAATATAGTGATGTGCTTTTCCCATCTCAGAAAAAAATAATAATAATCTAATTTAAAGAGAGCTTCAGAGGTGGTAATAATAAATATAAAGAATTTTGTATTAATTTAACTTATTTGAAACATAGTTGTTCAAAGAAAACATAACATCTGGGGGCTTATAACATATGTGGAAGTAAAATGTGTGACAAAATAACACAAAGACTAGAAAAAGAGAAGTAGGTATGTGCTCTTATAAGTTCTAAATGAAGTGGCATCCTATCCCTTGATGGACAGGGAAGAGTTAATAATGTACACCAGAAATCTTAATACAAACAAACAAAAAAAAAACACAACAAAGAATAATAGCTAATAAATTTAACAAATGAGATAAAAGGAATATTAAAAACAAAGACAGTCAGAAAATGAAGTACAGTGGAGAAAATGAAGTACAGTACAGGAGCCAGAGAACAAACAAAAGATGGTATATTTCAGCCTAGCCAGAGAGGGCTGGGGTTATAGCACTTGTCCAGCTTGCGTGAGGTCCTGGGTTCAGTCTTCTGGACTGCAAAATACAAAAGTAAAAAAGAAAAACCTTAGACAGATGTTATTTAGTCACCCTAATGAAGAGATTTTCAGATGATATTTTTTAAAATAGGGCCCATTACACATTTCCTGCAAAAAAATAAAAAATAAATCCCTTTAAAACTATAGCACAACTAGATTTAAAAATGAAAGGATGAGCTGGGTATATTTTGGCACACCTGTAATCCCAGTAGCTCGGGAAGCCGAGGCAAGAGGATTACAAGTTCAAAGCTAACTT